CGACAATGTGTAGTATGTTGCTAACATTGTCCTTAAGTCATCACTTTTCACCCCATCGATGAACTTCGAGGCAATGCTAAAGTTCCGTCTATTTGTCGACTCCTCTGGGTCACTCCTCCTTCTCAAGCTCTCGAGGTCATCTAGGAACCGATCTATTGACTCGTCGTCCCTCTGCCTTCTCTTTTCAAATCGCATCATCGCTTGGTGACCCTTCATGCCTGACCCGAACCGATTCAGCAATATCTCGAAGATCTTGTCCGCGGTGTCGCGTTCTTCCTCCTTCTTTGCGACCACGCATTTTAATGCCGTTCCTTCCAAGTTGCTCAGTATGGCTGTACATGCTTGTCTTTCGTCACTCAAGTTATCTTGTTCTAGATGTAATCTCATCACTTCCACCCAAGTGTCAATGCATCCATCGGAGTCGTCCTTGAATTCTTTTGGCTTCTTGAATGTCTTTCTTGATTTTCCCTCTCTCCTGTCGCTCGAGTCAGTGTTCCTCGTGGCGAAGGCCTCTAGAGTCCTGTTCATCATCTCCCAAGTGCTGGCCCATGTCATAGCATCCGGTCCTGTGTTGCTGTTAGCTGTTGAATCTCCCGGAGCAGTCGTTGTATTCGACGTTCCATTCTTCATTATTGTTTTCGCAGCTGTTGGTGCTATGCTTATCGCATCCCTGGTTAAGGGCAACGGTGTCGATTGTCGTTTGTTCCTTTGTGGTTCTGCAAAGTCGACTCTGGTGCCTTGCGTACGATCCGCTGCCGGTCTTTCTTGTGGAGTAGAACCTCTCAAGATTGCATCCAACTTCGCCTGTATTGCACACGAACTCTCGGCTTGACTCTTGCTCATTGTGTCCATTCTCCTTTCCAGGCTCCCTAATTGGCTGTTAACATCATCATATCGGTTCTTCAACTGTTGCATGTCTGTTTTGATGTTCTTTTCTCGTTCTTCATTGGTGGCTTCTACCTTGTCTGACATCTCCTTGAGTCTCTCCTCTGTTGCCTTAGCCAGGTTAAAATAACTGTCTAGATACTCGTGCTTGTTGTATCTTATTTCCTTTTTTATCACCTCTCTGTCTTCTTCACTGTGCTTAAGTCTTTTGTCAATCTGATTTAATTTCGCCAACAAGTCACCCAGCTCAATGGTAGTCTCTTCATGGTCAGCTGTCGGTCTCTCTTCGGCCGTAGCCTCTGCTTTAGCTTGTTCCTCTCTTGGATTGGCTTCTGAGGTCTTCGTGCTCACTGTCCCAAACGTTCGTGCTCTTTCTGCTTTTGGTTCTTCAATCACGTTTTCTTTTGTTTTTATTCCGAACATTATTCCCAATTTTTCCGTAAAAGATGTCCTCTTTACTTGAGAGTCTTCTTTCACCGTTTCTTCGGTGTTGCTTATTGCATCTTCCGCGTCATCTATCGGTGAGAACTCTATGGGTTTCTGGTTCGGTTCCTCTGCATTGGGCATTGGAGTTGACTCTGTCGCCATCTTCCTTGTTTCATCCACACTTTGATCGGGTGTCTCTAGATCAATCTCGATGGTGGGTTCTACTCGCTCCCCTTCCGTGCCCTCTTTCGCCCTGTTCTCCGCTGTACTCCTTGTGCTGACCATGTTAACTGAAAAGTTCGTCTTCGTTATCTTTGGGCCCGTTGATGTCGTTCCGCGCAGCGATGAATTATATTTCGTGTTTGATCCACTTGACCTTTTTTCGAGCACCGGTACCCTACTCCGCCTCATTATTTCTATTTACAACTGCTTCTATTTACAATTTTATTATATACACGATTCTATTCTAAGGGTAAAAAAAAATATTTTTTGTGGTAACAAATTCTGTACAACGTGTTAAAAACCTTATCCAATTCTCTTTCTAAAACCTCCGAAAAATTTTCCTTAATTTGGTCTTAACCCTACCTATTTCGATTTGTCTTATTCTGTCTTAAAACGCACTTGTTGTAATTTGACTTCAATTTCTATACCGTCCCAAGACTATTCGTCACTATCACAGTACTCTCCGTTAGTGTCCTAAGACCCTTGTACCAAGACCACTGTTCCAAGACTAGTGTCCCAAGACTACTGTCCCAAGACCAGCGTCCCAAGGCTAGTGTCCCAAGACTACCGTCCCAAGGCTAGTGTCCCAAGGCTAGTGTCCCAAGACTACTGTCCCAAGTGTAGTGTCCCAAGACCAGTGTCCCAAGACTACTGTCCCAAGACTAGTGTCCCAAGGCTAGTGTCCCAAGACTACTGTCCCAAGACTAGTGTCCCAAGGGTAGTGTCCCAAGACTAGTGTCCCAAGACTAGTGTCCCAAGGGTAGTGTCCCAAGACCAGTGTCCCAAGGCTGGTGTCCCAAGACTAGTGTCCCAAGACTAGTGTCCCAAGACCACTGTCCCAAGACTGTCCCAAGACCACTGTCCCAAGACCCTGTCCCAAGACCACTGTCCCAAGACCCCTGTCCCAAGACCCTGTCCCAAGACCACTGTCCCAAGACCCTGTCCCAAGACCCTGTCCCAAGACCCTGTCCCAAGACCACTGTCCCAAGACCACTGTCCCAAGACCCTGTCCCAAGACCACTGTCCCAAGACCCTGTCCCAAGACCCTGTCCCAAGACCACTGTCCCAAGACCACTGTCCCAAGACCCTGTCCCAAGACCACTGTCCCAAGACCCTGTCCCAAGACCACTGTCCCAAGACCCTGTCCCAAGACCACTATCCCAAGACTGCTCTGTCCCAAGACTTCTTCGGTCTTGTCCCAATACTCGTCACGGAGTGTCTTCCTCGTTGTAGGGTCTTCTTGAACCACCGTACCTTGTACCACCACTCAAGCTCTAGTAAAATTTTCCCAAAAACCCTCTCTTAAAAGCCAAATGCTGACCCCCCTCTTCTTTTTGGTTGTTTCTATTTCAATGTAGGTGCGCAGGTATCTTGTGATCACCTGTTCGTATAAAACCAAACACAAATCCTCAATAAAATGCAACAAAAATTTTAAGTAAGAAAAATAATAAAAACAGAAAAATGAGCCCACCTAAAATTTAAAGGTGACCAATGTCTACCTTTCGTCTAAAAAAAATGTCTGGTACCTAATTGCCACGCGTTTTCCTCCCCCCACTAGTGATCTTATGGGGTATCACAAAAGCTGTCTATATCCGGTCCCCCCTACCAAACCAACCAGCGTACCAGCCTTAACTCGAGTTGGATTTTGGATCTCCACCTAATATTACCAACGCGTGTTAATTTCTAATGTAACTAAGTCAACGATGTCGACTAATTAGTTACTCTAATTTCCCCCTTTTTGCAATTTACAACCGCCAACCTCTAGCCTAACCAGTCCCCCTTCTAACCTCCCCCCTTTCTAGCCCCCCTTCTTAAGCCTAAAAATTACTTTAAGCGCCGGGTGCTAAACCTCTCAAGAGAAAACCGTAGACCTGTTTCCAGGCCTGCTCAAGTAAAAACGTTCCTCAAAACTGGGGGATTTCGCTTATCCAATTTTACACTTATCTCCTATAATGTAATGTGGATTCTAACGATACCCGTTCTGCCCAACTCGAGAACTCGAGAATTGCCAAATCCTTCTTGGCTGCTTTCCCACTCGACTGGTCACCTGTTCCAGTCCAGTCTCCTATTGGTTCAGCCAAGTGTCCCTGAACCACTTTCCCACTCGGCTGGTCACCTCTTCCAGTCAAGTCTCCTATTGGTTCAGCTCAGTTCCAAGCTATCTGAAAACCCTTGACAACGCCCCACTTCGGGCACTTTATTCAGTTTACTGGTTTAAATTGCTAGGTTGATCGAAACGATCGAACTTGTAAAACAGTATGGGTATACTATTTAATTAATATAAAGGTTTGATCCAACTAATCTGGTGTCAAAGTCACTGTCTTTTTTCGTTTTATGGTTTTTGTTCCTTTTTCTATTCTTTTTTGGTTTTTGTTTTGCTTTTTGTCTTTTTGCTCGTGTTTTTGTCCCCCTAGTTGCCCCCCTTTACTCGGTTAGCTAAGCCTCGTTCGGAGAGCGTACCAGGAAATTTTCTCGAGTTTTCTTAAAAAGCTATCACGGTACAACCGGAAGGTTTGCACGTTCCTGTCGAACCGTACCGCCGGTACTCTAGAATGGGCATTCAGCCCGAAGCTGTCTCAAGTGGGTTCGACTCCGTAGTCTTGATGTCGTAAACACCCAGGAGCGCCATAAAAACACTATGTAACATTCGTCTACTACAGTCACACATGAGGCTTAAGAAAAATAGGCCCTATAACTATTGGCTCAGGAGTCAGGGACACTATCTCTTGTGTTTTTCCACCTCAAATCAGTCGGAGCCAATTCGGATCGCTTGTGACATGAGACTACGACCCGCTACTGCTTAAGGCTACTACCAAAATATCCCCCCACTCTAGAATTAAGAACGTCCCCATACTTAGGTCTCAAAATACCCAAAATACATGAACGCCGTTAAAAACCGGGTTGGAACAATCCGTTAAGTTGCTTTTTTATTAGACAGTGGAACTTTGATCCATTTCAGATGGATCAACCTAAAACTCGCCTTACCTCAACATAACAATCATAAAACACACTCTAGAAATTTAAATTAAGGACTCACATGTTGGTGCGCTCAAGCACAGGAAGTAATTAAATGGGTGAGCAACTCTAGAATTAACTATGGTAACTAGATAAGTTCAATGTTTATCAGTTTGAACGACAAAGGTAAGTTTGAACTCAAGAACGAAGTTTTATATGAACCATTGGGACACTCAAGCTGTCCACCTTTCCGCCGAAGGTTCACTCTGGTCCAGTTTGAATAATCGCTCTCTCGGGGATACTCTGTCTTCTATTTCAGATAGGACAGCTCTACTCTTGTTCACTATGATGGAAATTGCGAATAGCAATTTCCCACTCGTTTTTATTTGACAACTTCCCCGCAATTGTTCTAAAATTGTTCTGATTTCTTTTTCTGATTTTCAGTTATCGCGAGAAAATCGTGCATGACATGTTCCATTCGAAATTTTTAAAAATTAAATTTCACTCCAAAATCAAGTGTTTTCTGCTCTTCTCAAGGTCAAACTTCCAAACATGACCGACTGGCACAGAACTGGCTGAGTTTCATAGTGGTAATTCATACATGTAAAATTTCTCCAACACTCGTCACCCCTGAGTTTTATCAAACCAGCACCGATCATTATTCTAAATATCAGCCATCTGTAAGCCCAGATGACAACTTTTGAAGGCGAGCATGTTTTAGGAAAATGCGACAAAGACAAAAGAGGTACAAAGAAAATACCCAAAAACCCGGTTTCCAGTAATTGAGACTCCCAGCCAAATGAGAACCAGCGCTGACCGACGTTCACTATCGAGTGATACAAAAACCATAAAAGAAACATAATTACAGAATTTGCCCGTGCCGTCAACAGCACAAAAGCGGAAACAAAAATACCAACAGCTGATAACAGATTGGTATAATAATCAAAGTCAGTCGGGTTTTCGTAATCGATAAACCAAAGCAGAGTAGGTACTTGAAAAAACTTTTCGAATTTTGAAATTTCCCCCAATCGTTTGGACATAAAAGACATGTGAAGATTTCCCGGAAGAAGCCCTCTTGATCCAATCAGCGCCAAATTTTGATTAAGTGAAATCAAGAAAGCCACAAAATATAGAAAACCTAGGTACCGAATCACAACTATCCTTGTCAGATAGAACGTGCAATTCAGGTGTTCAAAAGAACTCATCTCTGATTCTATATTTTCATCAATTTCTAAAAACTAGAACTTGTAAAAATCTCCTATAACTTCAAGTTTTAAGCTTGATTTTTCCTTTAAAAGTTTCCGATTCCCAACAATTTTCCCTTCCTTGAAAAAGAGTGTTTCCACTCACAACTGAGCTGCATACCGGGTACGACATAATTGGAGGCAAAAAATCAAAGAAAAGTTATATCTCGAAAACTACAAGGATTTGAGCAGTCAATTTCAAAGGGAAAATTGAGGTACTTGAGTTTATGCATTTTATATTTCCTTGTTTTATTTTTTATTATTTTTAACTTTAACTGGTGAATTTACCATCTTTCCAAAAAAAATTCAAAGGCAAGATTCGCAACATCTGATAGTACATTAACAGTTTCCAACAATGGGATTGAGATCTTCGAATAAAATTTCTTGAGCTGAACTTATTCATTTAAAACTTCTTCTAGAGTTGCTTTATTATGATTATTCACCTAATTCTAGAGTAAATTGTTGTGATAAACTTTTAGCCTAATTGTTGTGATAAACTTATTAAATAGATTTATGTTTGATGTTTGTGCCTGTATGTGGAGCGCCCTCTGAGGGATTTTAGAGACAGGTCTGTCAAGTGGCTTTCTGTGGGGAGGTGGGAAACTGGAACTGGCTTGAGGAGTCTGGTGGTGCGCCGCTGGACCTACTGAGCTCGGGTGAGATTGTTCCTTGTTTTTGATTTGTATAATTCGATTTTAAAATTTAAATTAATTTAGTTGTCTTTTTTTTATTTGCTGATTTGTAAAATTACCACTAACCGCTTATCATTGGTTAGTTCAGTCCCCTAAAGTCCAGTCAAAATCCTTTTTTTTTACCTTCATGCGTCAAGATGAGGAAAAACAACGAAGAGTGCACAAGCAAAGATTGCTTAAAACCTTCAGGACTGATAAATTAGATTAGATGTGATTGTTGTTCTAGTTGGTATCATATCAGTTGGTAAAATATCTGTTCTGTATTTTTCAGATACAAATTTAATTTTAAAAAAAATCATATCAGTTGTGTAAATATTTCTCTTAGCGACTCTAAGAAAACCCAATGGTTTCAGTGTCCTTTATGCGTTGATGTAAAATCTGTTAATAAAGCAACAATAGGTAATTATTTAGTGCCAGACAATTATGTTAATAGAGCCATCTCCAATGTCCGAGTACTCAAGAGAGTACCAAAAGACTCGCGTGTTCCCTTGGCGGAAAGTCTGTCGGACAAAATAAATGACATCGTCTACAATGTAAAAGATGTTACAAAATGGCTAATTTTTTTAACGTCGGTCTTGTTTTTTTTGGAGCAACCGAAAAGAAGTGGACGCAAACAGACCACAAGCATAAGTTCTTTGACAAATAAAAAAATTCGAGCAAATGACGTGTCACTTCCAAAACCCCATCCCCAAGTTTCAAGCCCGCCTCTGAGTGACCTCGAGCAGAGAATCAAATTAATAAGTAGTAAGCTCGATGAAGGAAATGTAAAGGGAGGAATAAGGCTTGCTGCGTCGGATGACAAAATCGCTCCTTTTTCAACTGATAACTATCAAAAATTGTTGTCTAAGCACACGCAGCGAGCCAAATTTGCAGCTCCAAATCCAGAAAAGTTGGATAGTTTTTTGGCAACCGATTTCGACCTATACAAAGCGATGATGTCCTTTCCAAACGGATCAGCAGCAGGTCCTGATAAAAAAGTTCCTCAAATTTTTAAAGATCTTGTTAGTAAGTCGAATGGCAGTGCAGGACGTATTTTCTCAAATCGCTTACTAAGCTGATAAACCTGTTTGGAGATGGCAAAATACCCGAACCACTAAGACCTTTCTTTTTTGGCGCAAAGCTTATCGCCCTCATAAAGATAGACGGAGGGTTGAGACCGATTGCCATAGGCAACACGCTGAGACGTATCGCGTCTAAATGCGCTGGAAGCAAGGCCCTCTCCGAGCGACAAAATTTTTTCGGAAACATACAGGTAGGATGCGGTATCAAACGAGGAGCAGAAATAGCTGCGCACTCGTTTCGAAACCTAATTGAACGCGACAACAATCCAAAATGCACTGTTCTTTTAAAACTAGATTTCAAGAATGCCTTTAACTCTTTAAACAGAGAAACAATGCTGAATCATGTTTATTCAAATCGCCCCGAATTGTATAATTACACCCATTGCGCGTATGGTAAACCTAGTTACCTTTTTTACGGAAGCTCTGTCATAATGTCAGAAGACGGAACTCAGCAAGGTGATAATGAAGCCCCACCCCTTTTTGAGGAAACAATTCATACACTAGTCAAACAGTTGGAGTCGAAATTTAACATCTGGTATTTAGATGATGGGAATTTAGCCGACAACTATAAGGTAGTACTCCGGGACCTTAACAACATTCTGAAATCGGAACAAATTTACGGCCTGAGCTTAAACACTGAGAAGTGTGAGCTTTGGTTTTTGGGACCAACTACCAGTACACAGTATAATTCAATTTTAACACAATTTCGAAAAATATGCCGCAAAATAAAAATAAAAACAAAAGAAGAACTCCTCATTTTGGGATCTCCAATCGGCGAACTTTGCCGAAAAGAATTGCTCGACGAAAAAATGAAAAATTTTAAAAAAATTTAGGATGTCATTGACAAACTAGACGCCCATTATGGTTTGTAACTCCTGAAAAATTGCTTTAGCATGCCAAAACTCCTATATTTTTTGCGTACGAGCCCTTGTTTTTTGCAAAATGATATTTTGGAACGCTACGCTATTTTACTAAAAAATTCGTTATGCAAGTTCACTAACGTGAAAATGGATGTTAACCAGTTTTTAGAAGCAGTTCTCCCGGCAGCCAAAGGTGGCTTGGGCGTTTCTTCCGCTCGTCTACTCGCTTTACCCGCTTTCTTAGCCTCAGCAGTAGGAGCGAAAGATGCTTTGAGCAAAATCTTTGTTTTGGAGCATGTGGATGGAACCTATGATGATGCGCTTAAACGGTGGTTTGACCTTGGAAAAATTGAAATGGCTCCGGAAAATGAAATCCAAAAAAAATGGACGGAGCCAATTTTTGACAGCGAAATTGCAGACTTGATTTTACGACTCGAACCAACGGACGTAAAAAGGTTCAACGCGTTCCAAGATAGATTTGGCTCCCAATGGTTGAACGTCATCCCGTGCAAAAATTTAAGGTTAAAACTGTCGAACCAACAACTCAGACTTGCGATAGGACTTCGATTAGGATCAAAAATATGCGAACGGCATAAATGCGTGTGCGGAAAAGACGTTACGGAGGATGGTTGGCATGGTATTTCTTGCCTCAAAAGTGCAGGGATATTCTCTAGGCATTCAAACCTGGATGCCCGTATAAAGCAGAGTCTATAATCTACTCACATTCCGTCTGTTTTAGAACCACGACACCTCTACAGGACCGATCAGAAGCGACCAGACGGTTTGACGCTCGTTCCATGGGCTGATGGTAAGCAGCTCTTGTGGGATGAAACGGTAGTAGACTCCTTAGCTCCTTATAGGATTAATGATGGGTCTGTTTGTAACCCTGGTACGGCTGCCGCTGAAGCGGAAGAGCGAAAAATTGACAAGTATAAAGATCTTGTAAATGATGGATATCTTTTTCAACCGCTAGCTTTTGAAATTCAGGGCGCGGCCGGCCCCAGCACAGAAGTTTTTTTGAGCAAGCTTTGTAAGAACCTAAGCATATGCACTGAGGAACCCAGAGCAGGCAGCTTTTTAAAACAGAGAATCTCCCTGGCAATACAAATTGCGAACGCCGCTTGCGTACTCGGAACATTAAATGACAAAATAACTTTCGACGAAATTTTTTACTTGTAACACTTGTATATTATATTATCTCGTGTCGAGTTGCGCGTGTCGAGTTGCGCGAAGAAACGTAACCCGTATCGATTTCAATTGAAAAGGACTTAAACACTTGTCATCTTCTTTTATCATTATCACTTCCATATCTAAAAAATTCCAAAGATTTTGACTGGAATACATGATGAAGGAACTCATGACTGTAACCTTGGGTACTATGATACTTTTGACCTTCTGATTACTCATTCTAGAGTCGCGTCACTATGTGAGTACTTAATTTAAACTTCTTGAGTGCATTTAAAGCAGGGAGCACGATACTATATCGATAATATCGTTCGATACATCGATATATCGATACTCGATACCGATACTTTTTTTGTCTCCGATACTTCGATACCGATACTCGATCTGGATTTATCACAATTTTTGATACCAACGATACTTGAAATTTTAAATTCCGATACTTTGTCAGTTTTCGCTCGGTCGGTCATTAAAATTTTCACCTTAATTTCCAAAATTTTACCTTTTCAGTTTTCACCTTAATTTCGGTCACCTTAAATTTTCGCGTTCATGGAGCGCCTTATCTTCTTTTGATTTCTTTGCTTGATTTTTTAGAAGGCAGTTTTAAACTAGCTGTTTTTGTTTTGGTGATAACTGTGTGATAATGGATAATGGATGATACTGATACTAACATTGACGAAACTTTGCCAGGCGATGACTCGGATATCGAGAATTTGGATAATTCAATAATTGCCAATGTGGACGGCGACTGGAGACTTCCACAGAAACAGACCGAAGTGACGAAGCGGTATTTTGTGGAATATGTCAACGGCCGGAAGACGACAAGGCGAAAATGCAGAGACTGCGGACAAACTAAAGAAAATTCTGGTAACACATCCAATCTGCGAAAACACACTGCTGTTTGTAAAACACGGTTGCTGTCTAGTCAAAATCAGATTCCATTCAATGTAGGGAAGGTTGAAAAAAGAGGATTTGATACAATGGCTAAATTGGTGTACATTGATAACTTCCCAATAACAAAGGTCGTCAACTCGCCAAGACTCCAGCTCATGTATCGACAACTGAACTACGACAAACCTACTTATCAATCTCTTGACAACTACATCGAAGGCAAGTACCATGAAGCAATTAAAAAGATTCGTGAAATTTTCACTGCGCGGTCGAAGTCCGATTTGCTGTGCATAACGCT